TTACATCATAGGGTGCACGACTCCTCAGGGCTCAACTCCAATCACTTGAATGTATAATTTGAAGAAGTCTTCGATGGGAAAAAAAAGGTTAATTCGGGGTACTACACCAACGATTCTTCCATGTCGCAGCGTTGATTCAAAATAGCGATGAGAAGGTACGCATGCGCGGCAGTGGCGAAGAAAATATGAATATTCATGCTATCGAGCGCCGATCGCTCGAAATCGCTGAATATGGGTCTGCAGATAAACATGAAGTTGTAGATCATGCCATGATCTACACCAGCTTCTGCAACTAATAGATCTAGACCCTTTTACAAAGTTATTCAAATTTATGGATGTTTCTTTCCTGGGGATAGTAACAAGGGATTCCATTAACTAATGAACTTCAGTACTTGCATGGAATCCAAATTGCATTACTTGCTGCTATGTCTGGCAAGCTTTCAGGTTCTCAAGAACAACCTTTTTTTTTAAAGTATGCATAACATTTGAATATGTTAGTGAAAAGGTGTATTAGATCACCTTAAAATTCTTGGAGAAAGCATGTTTATATTATATTCAATTATATTTTTACTTATTGAAAGTGTATGCCTTTCTATGTTTAAAAAAAATAATTCTTGGCTATAGATAACAAAGTATTTGTTATCTTAATTTCTTTTCAGCATTCACACTGAAGGTGCGACCCAACGAGTCGTCGCCCTCCGTTCTTCGTCAGGCCATGCGGGTGAAGATAGAAGGCGTTAAGTATAGACACAATAAGAAACATAACCTGTAGATATCTAACCTTCATCCTCCCTTCCATGTAGTTATTAGTTATTAGTGTAATTAGTAGTAGAAATTTACTTGCCATATAGCTCTTATCTAGTATACTTTTTAAAAACTACTTTACACATGATAGATATGTTTGAAATTTATAAAGATGTTTTCTGTTTACTATCATTATTCCCAAAGACCAGCTGACATGTTCTGCCTTTCTTAGCTTGCCATGAACAGGGTATTCATGTATTGCAACTTGTATATATATATTGTTTTTACTTTTGATGTGGAGTTTAAATACCAGAAGAAAAAAAAATCACTATTTCCAAAGATATGCAGTGTTATAAGCTTGATATATTCTGCCTTTTTATGTAGAAAATTTACTTTGCCATACATTAGCTCTACCAAGTACTTTGTTTATATGATAAATATGTTTGAAAGTTTGAGAAAAAAAAGGTTTTTTATTACATGTATGTTAATGTTTAGTGCATATTACTATCTTGCCCCCCCCCCCCCCGAAAAAAAAATATCAGCCGATGTGTTCTGATTACAGATACTTGCCAAAAACAGGGTATTCAGTGCAACTTGTACATTCATATATATATAGATATATATATTTTTTTTAACTTCTAACATAGAGTTTATACAATCGGTACAAAATATCATTATTGCCAAAGATATGCATTTATTGCATTGTACCTATCAGCTTGATTCATTCTGCCTTGTCTTTGTAGAAATTTACATGCCGTACAATTTGGTCCTATCCAATACTGGATATTTGCTAACCTATATGATATGATATATACATATACGTATACATGTATCATTGCCAAGGACACCAGGTGACATTTTCTACCTTTTTATACACTAGCTTGCCATGAACGGGTATTCAATGCAACTCACACTTAATGCTAACATACATGTATAGTTTATTTATATATTTTAAAAAGCCATCTTACGTATAGTTGTTGTTGTTTTTGTACTAGCTTGCTTTAGTGTGTTCTATTGCATATTGTTATACCTTTTGTTTAAAGTAAAGTTTAATGTGATTCTTTGTTGTTTTGGTTTTTTTTTTTTAGCTTTTGTTATCATAAATCAGGTCGGCTATTCTTGATATTATAGTGTTTGCCTGTCTTTGTAAGTATACTCATCATGTAGCAGCTACGTGTTTCATATTCTACCTCTTCCATGTGACTGCTTGCCATAAAATTAAATCATATAACTGCACCATATAACTGCATATAATTTTTTACGAGTATAATGAAGCTGACAACTCTTAATGGAGATATTGGAAATGTTGGTGATTGTGACATCATATACCTTAACATTGTACAATAATTGTTTTGTTATTAAATTCCTTTTTTAACATATAATTTTGTTTCTCATTCTATCCATCAAGACGTTTATAGATTTCAGTGATCAAGAGACTGCGTGATCGATTCTGAGAGTATCCATTTGCACAATGACTATGACAATGAGAGAATGGTTGACTCTGAAGTGGTGTACTGGAACTGAGAGAGTGGTTTGAGAAGTATCTTTGAATGGATCAATGTTACAATGTGTGTCAATCCATGAACAACAAATACAACAGCATACATCACTCAGTAACAAAAATAGAAGAAAAATAGATTTAGATTTCAAAAATACCTTTCTTTTAAAAAAAAATAGGGGAAAAATAGGTTTGTAACTAAAAAATAGAAAAAAAATGTATTTTGAGAAATATATTTTTTATATATTTTGCGAGGCTCCTCTATTTTTTTGCTATTTTTTACTTGTTCCAAAACATATAGGCCAAAAATATATTTTTTTTTCTATTTTTTTCCTATTTCCAATATATTTTTTTACTATTTTTCGACTATTTTTAGGGAAAGAAAATAGATAAAAAATATATTTTTTTAATATTGTTTTTGTCTATTTTTGGTCTATTTTTTGACTATTTTTAAAACTATTTTTTTACTATTTTATTTTGACTATGTTCACATCTTTGAATGTTTATGTCTATAGTGCAACGTTTCAACAAAATTTATAAAAACTTCCGAACCAGCCAAAGATGTCAGTTGAGTAACACGTTAAAGAATACAGTTGTTTATTATTTAGGAAATAATAAATCTAGTAGAACTTTGCTCATAGATACATGTCACGTTATTCGACGATATACATTGATTCCTTAATGATTATGCTCTCTCCTCTATGAGATATATGTCAACTATACATGACCTTCATGCAACTCACCTTGGACAACTAGATACACTTCTAGACAAATACATTAAAAAGTGGATGGGCATCCCCCGGTGTGGTGCCAATATTGCTGTAGTTCATGCCCCAAGGGGGCTTAATATTCCCACTATCTCTGAGCTCTACCAAACATGTCATTGCCTTGCCTACAGTAGATCGAAAGTTAAAGGTGACGAAATGGTAGTTCATGCCCTAGATCAACAACTTGCCAGAGAGGAAAACTGGACCAGAAAGTCATCTACAATCCAGGTTGCATACCAAATTCATCAAACCAGTTTACAAACGAATTGGAAAGATACTAACAAATCAGTCAAAACGAACCTGAAAGAGGAAAGCAGGAAAAAGTGGGAAAATGAATTAGAACCTCTCCTAGTCCAAGGTGAATTCATGAAGGTACTAGAAATAGAAAACTGTGACTTGTCCTGGAAGTCCATCATCTTCGAACTACCACAAGGAGTTATGAAATTTGCAATAAATGCAGCGATTGATAGTCTGCCGAGTAATAAAAACTTGTATAGATGGGGTAAGCGAATAAATGACTTGTGTAGTTTATGTCAAGCCAAAGGTACTTTGCATCACGTAATGAATAATTGTCAGGAAAAGTTAAATAGATACGCGTGGCGTCATAATAACATTGTACATAATCTGCTAGAGAGCATTAAACAGAACGGCCTTGATAGTGATCACCAAGTATATGCTGACGTGGAAGGGGAGACAATCAGTGGAGGGACGGTTCCCCCAGCTATTGTTCCAACACAACAAAGACCTGATGTATGTTTCATTTATTTTAGAAAAAAGGAAATACTAGTATTTGAGTTGACAATTCCATTTGAAACCAACATTCAACAGGCCCACCAAAGAAAGCTTGACAGGTACGCCGGACTAATACATGATATCTCAGAAGCCGGCTGGACTCCCAAATTACTGTGTTTAGAGATAGGTTCCCGAGGTTTGATAACTCCTGACAACAAGAAAAGACTTATAGATATGTTGAAAACATGTAAATGCAAAGTAAGGTATCCACAACTGAGAAATGAAATCTTGAAAACCGTACTGTTTGGGTCGTATGTTATTTTTTACAGCCGGTCGGAACGCACCTGGCAATCACAACATTACTTGGGCGTGTAAGTGGTTTAACTACTTGGTATGACTTGCAATAGCGAGACCTTTTTCTCTCCCTCTCCCTCTCTCTCTCTCTCTCTCTCTCTCTCTCCCTCTTTCTTTCCCTCTTTCTTTCTTTCTCTCTCTTCCCCCCCCTCTCTCTCTCTCTCTCTCTATCTCCCCCTCTCTCTATGGGGATAGGTTCTCGTGGTGTGATTACGCATGCTACTATATTGACAGATATGATGACGGTACCTAAATGTAAGGTGTGGCATAATTATGTAATTGGGAAAAGTAATATTTCAAAAGTATATTCTGTGTGTTTATATTGTTTTTTACAGCCTGTCTGAACTCACTTGGAATCACTACAACAGTTGGAGGTGTAATTACTTTAAATTAGGATACGTATGTAACTTGTTATTACGGGACCTCCCTCTCTATCTCTCTCCCTCTCTCTCTCTCTCTCTCTCTCCTTCTCTCTCTCTCTCTCTCTCTATCTCTTTCGCTCTCTCCCCTCTTCAACTCTCTCTCTCTCTATGGAGATAGGTTCCCGTGGTTGATTACTCATTAAGAAGAGATTGATAGATATGCCCACGGTATGTAAATGTATTATGAGGCATTGCTAACTAAGAAAATAATCATTATTTTTGTTTTTGTTATTTTGTTAGGAATTATTAATGTTTTCATTTAAAACACTGACGTTATATTGTTCTCTTTTTCGTTTTGTTACTGTGTATTGTAATTGTTTAACCCTGCGTGAGATGCATCTAATGTAATACAAATCTCTGTCCTGGGTTTTATGTCACATCTTTATTATCATGTTTTATGTATACTTTCTTGAATAAAGATGAATAAACAAACATTCTACCGATAGGGTGATTACCTTTATATCATCATGTTATTATATTTAGTTGAATCGGGAGACATGGTGACCGATGACGTCGAGGAAAACCTTGGTCGATGTACGGAGGAATTCAACCGTTGTGGAATTCCGTGCAAAGCTGCATGTTTGGAGCATCTCCGACATGGCGGGAGTAAGAATTATTAAGATTTTCCATGAATTATACTCGCATTTCGAATAACTGTTAGCTCAACCTGTATATGATATGGACGGCTTATCCCGAAAGGGTGGGGAGCGGCGCGTCGCGTTGACTTGAACGCGATCATTCGTCTAAAGCGCCCCCCCCCCCCGGCTTTGCCAAAAGGATGCGTTGATTAGTCTACTACATCAGTCGTTTATATTAGAATTTAAGGAATACAAATTTTAGTCGTTTAAATTTAAATAATCAAACTAGAAACAGATTAAAAATTAAATAAAACTAGTTCTTACGTAGTCTTACTGATCAGGCGTTTATGAGAATTAAATCAATAAATAAGAAACACAAGAAACACAAACAAATAATTTATTTTGATATATAAAAATGTCAAATATAGGTGTTTTCCTAGTCTTGCATATCAGTCGTTTGTTTATTAAAATAATAAAAAATAGTATCCACTTCTGTCTATGTATGGAATTCAGAAAGCCCCGCCAGCTTATCCCGAAAGGGTGCATCAAGGCTAGGCCTACTCCGTTGTTTTTTTATTTTTTCATTATTTCATTTGTAAAGCCTGTTATGCAGGACTAATTTACTTAAAAATGACTTCTATACATAAAAATGATGATAATAATCATACTTAATATTTATTAGGCGCTTAATACGGGTGTCTCGAAGCGCACCATAGTCTGACTTAAAAATTATATACCCAAACTTATGATAAACACACAACTTATACAACTGTTCTTTATTCAATAAATCATGCAAACAGTATATAATAATAACAATAAGAGTGAGATGAAACAAATATAAGGTCGAATATAGGATCAAACATAAGTTCGAACAAACAAGAAATAAGACGGTGTACACCTCCTTTGACCGACTCACAACTGCAGAATATCATTCATGAATTAAAAAGGTGCGTTTTCAGCAAGGACTTAAATTGGTCAAGAGAATAAATATTATGAAAATGTGCTGGTAATTATTCCAAAGGATAGGGGCATTTACTGAGAAAGCTCGATCACCATATTGTGTAACGGTACGATGTCCAAGGGTTAAATGCTAGGTTGATGATGATCGAAGAGGTCTTAAAGAACTAGAAGAACGTAAGTAAATCAAAACTAAAAGCTATATTTAGGGGCTTGGCCATGGAGAATTTTGTATGTAAGAAGAAGAACTTTAAATGTTAAACGATGGTGTATAGGGAGCCAATGAAGAGAACGCAATATTGGGGTTATGTGCTCAAATTTTCTCGAGAGAGTAACAAGCCTTGCAGCAGTATTCTGAATTCTTTGAAGTGGAAGTACGTACGAATGCGGAAGGCCAGAAAAAATTGAATTACAATAATCAAGGTGGGAGGATACAAATGCATGGGTTAATTTTGCAGTTGTGGGCCGGTCATGTAGTTTCCTCATTTTCCCAATTTTAAAGATTCCAAAACATGCCGATTTACAGACGTTTTTAATATGCTGCTGAAATGTGAGATTTTTGTCGATTAAAAGACCAAGGTCTCGTACGCATTCACTACCCTTCAGTGAACCATTTCTGGTAACCAAGTAATATGGATCATTTCAGATGTTCGTTCAAAGTCTATTGTTAGAAGACCAGAACCTAATGTCTTCAAAGCAACTGCCAAGTTTCCGAGCCGCATCATCCTTCCCGTTAGGCTTAAGATTAATATAAATTTATTTATTTATTTATTTATTCCGTTTTATTTAAACAGGGTAGCCCCGTCAGTAATCACAGTACTGTTTTCCAGGGGTCCCTGTACACAAATGCAACATATATGAAGATACAAACTACTTGAACAATATATACATCATGGAAAACATCAATACATAGTAACATACCACAGATACCTCGCTGGCATTGGATCTCCTAACCAAAGGCGCACTAACACCTGCCTAAAGGAACGGATGAAGCAGGCGACAGATGACAGACACATGCTACACGGATACTTACAACCCCACAAACGACTTATATCCCGACACAGCTTCCTCGATTCTTACCCACCACCTGAACAGAATCCTCCACCATCAGTCAAGCCCGTACTCATCAAAGGTCTTAACCTGAAGTGGCCGGAGTGGCAATGCCTAAATCGAATGCGGACGAGAATGGGACGGTGTAAGGTCAATATGGCAAGATGGGGCTATGCCCATGAAGGAGATACTCTCTGCGACTGCGGAGAGACTCAGACGATGGACCACCTCTTGCAGTGCGGCGGAACGGGTTGCACAGATGAAGACCTGTCACTTGTTAATGAAACGGCCATTGCAGCAATCGAGCGATGGAAGAACTTAATTTAATTTAATTTACTTCTAAGTTAAGGAACTTTACATTACTATCTTGATCTAAGGAGACACGAACGAACGAACCACAGAATGAGTAAAGAATAAGAGTAAATAATGAACAAAGATGTAGTAAGAATGATAAATTTCAATGAGCAATTTCAAATCGATAACAATATAGGCCTACTGTTGTTATTAATGATCTGTTTAGATTTTAACAAATTATTATATTGACAAATTTATGTAAATATTCATGAAAGAAATACATTTTTAAAAAGGCAAATTTATCTTTATCATCGCTGCTTAAAATAGAGAGAGCAAAAAGTATTCTTGGTCGGGGCATTTCGAACTGAGTGGGGTAGGCTATTCCACCGAAGAGTACCATCAACTGAGAAGGCACGTTTTTGCCACATTTTGTTTTAATTCTTGGAATAATAAGGCCAAATTGTCAGCATTCCTTGTTGAGTATCTATAAGTATGGGCCGACAGGGTGAACATATCATAATGATGGGGCACTATTATTCATGATATCATACATTAATTTACTTTTATTGAACTCCCATCTTTTTTCCATGTCAATCCATCTGAGAGTACTGAACATTTCGGATGTGGGAGTCAAAGTATTTATTTTCAGGACAATTCTTGCCATCTGCTTGTGTTGCTTAATCAAGATATCTTTTGTTCTTTTATTACAAGTACTCCATGAGACACTACAATAGTCATAGTAAGGAAGGATAAGAGAATTGGCAAGTAGTTTGGCACTATCAATTGTGATATATTTCCTGACTCTACGAAGTAGGGCCAACTTAGAGGCAATTTTATTTGAAGTGTATTTCACATGATCCTGCCACGTCATGTGCTGGTCTAGACAAACTCCCAGATATTTTACACTTTGAACTTGCTTGATTGGTACATTAGAAACGTTTATTGCGATTGGTATTTATTGCAAGTTCAGCAATTTCTGCGGTGTTCCAAAAATCATGAAGCATGTCTTGTCCGTATTCAGGGTAAGTTGGTTTCTTTCTAATCACTTTCTCACACAATCCAAATCATGATTAAGACATGTTTCGATTTCCCTTGGATTTGAAGAACTGTACATAAGAGCAGTGTCATCTGCAAACATAATCACTTTACCGTGCTCGATGACTGATGGAAGATCGTTCATGAAAAGAGTGAAAAGGAGGAGCCCCAATATGAATCCCTGGGGGGGGGGGGGGGGACTCTAGACTTTAACTTTAGCACGTCAGATTTTTTACCTAGCAAGGAGGTACATTGCGCCCGGTGTACAAAATATGATTCGAACCATGATAATGCTTGTCCTGTAATGCCATACAGTTTTAACTTATCTAGTAATAATCTATGATTAACAGAGTCGAATGCCTTTCGTATGTCAAGAAAGACTATACCAGTTATTCTACCTTTATCCATGTTAGTCAACAAAGAATTGCTCAAGAATGCAAGTATGGTGTTGGTTGAATAACCTTTCCTAAATTCAGATTGGTGGGGGGTTAGGAGATTATTATCTGACAGATAGTCTCGAAGTTACACGTTAACTGCCTTTTCTAATATTTTCATAATGGACGGTATAACAGATATGGGACGATAGTTGCTAACATCGTCCCTATCCCCACCCTTGTGAATTGGGGTAACTCGTGCCTGCTTCCAGTCAGCTGGAATTTGGCTGGTTTGCAGAGAAAGATTAAACAGATGAGTAATAGGTGTACAAACAACGGGTGTGGCCAACATCAGGAGACGTGCACTAAGCCCTTCTAGACCAGTTGCCTTATTAATCTAGATAATCTAATAAATTAGATGAAATCATAGTGCGATTGAAGAATTATGATGATCGCTTGTTAAAATTGGAAACAATATCAAAGGAAGCTAATAAAGAGAGGTGTGACCTTCGGGCGCACATTACTGAAAGCAGCAATCGCATCGGTACGCACTGCGACTTGCTTGAGTTTAGTGTTTTGGATCTCCAAAATGACAAGGACTCCAGTTCACGTCAAATCACATCAATGGCAAACAATCTGGAAATAAAGTCTGACGAATTATGGGATTGCATCGCCAGATTAACACACTCGAGCAGTACTCTCGAAGATCATGCATTCGCATCTTCGGCATCAAAGAGACACCCAACGAGAACACAGACGAAACTGTAGTATCCGTCGCCAGTAAGATGGGAGTGAACATCGGGGTGAATCAAATTGACAGAAGCCATCGCGTGGGAAAAACTCCAAAGGACCAGAAGAGGATTCGAGGTATTATCATCAAACTCTGCTCTTATCGCACAAGACAGCTTCTGATTCGCAATCGCCGAAAGCTAAAAGACACAGGGATTGGTATATACGAAGATTTGACCCCATCAAACATTCAACTACTCCATGAAGTGAAAAACTGTGAAAAGGTGACTTCCTCCTGGACATCTGATGGAATGGTCTTCGCGCTGACCACAGCACCAAATGGAAGCACAATGAAGCACATCATCCATAGTAAGAAAGATTTACTTAAAATATGACATTGATACACTTAATGAACATGATTGCTATCATGATACATGTACATGTACTTTCACGGTGTGAAAGAGGATGTTTGTACGTTATCCAATATTTTTCCCCCGTCTAGTGAAATAATATGCTCCAAGCGGTATTTTACACAATGTATTTTTCTACCCGTGTATTTGTTGATTCTTTGTACATTTTATCTTTGCAT